ATGTATGTATGTATGTATGTATGTATAATTTGAAAGCGAATGGCTTTACTATATTAAAGACGCTCACATCCATTTTCTCCACAATTCAAAAACAGTGAGGCCATCATCAACGAATGCCCGCAGAGAAGCATATGCAACAATTCTTCACTCTGAGGACGAATATGTCTGTGGAGCCATTGCTGCAGCTCAGAGTATACGCTTAACTGGTTCAACCAGAGACCTCGTAATCCTAGTCGATGAAACAATCAGTAGCCGTTACAAAAATGGGCTTGAAGCCGCAGGGTGGAAGATCAAAAAGATCAAAAGGATAAGAAATCCTAAAGCTACAAAAGACGCATATAATGAGTGGAATTACAGCAAGTTCCGCCTATGGCAACTCACTGAATATGATAAAATCATTTTCATTGATGCCGACCTTCTAGTCTTAAGAAACATTGATTTCCTCTTCACTATGCCGGAGATCAGCGCAACAGGCAACAATGGAACTCTGTTCAACTCTGGTGTGATGGTTATAGAGCCTTCAAACTGCACGTACAACTTGTTAATGGGACACATCAATGACATAAAATCATATAATGGTGGCGACCAGGGTTACTTAAATGAGATATTCACATGGTGGCATAGAATTCCCAGGCACATGAACTTTCTGAAACATTTCTGGATTGGTGATGAAGAGGAGAAGAAGGCGAAGAAAACTAGATTGTTTGGAGCTGAGCCTCCGATTCTTTATGTGCTTCACTACTTGGGATACAAGCCATGGCTGTGTTTTCGGGACTATGATTGCAACTGGAATGTGGATTTCATGCAGGAATTTGCGAGTGATGTTGCACATCACAAGTGGTGGAAAGTGCATGATTCAATGCCCAAAAAGTTGCAAAAATTCTGTCTTTTGAGTACGCACAGGAAGGCAAATTTGGAGTGGGATAGGAGGCAAGCAGAGAAAGCTAATTACTCAGATGGTCATTGGAAGAGGAATGTGAGTGATGAAAGGCTAAGAATCTGCAAAGATAGTTACTGTGACTGGAAGAGCATGTTATTGCACTGGGGAGATCCAATGTATGATGATGGCGGCCCAGGCTTTCAAAAGCTGGCTAAGAAATTACCGAGCCTTTGATCTTTTCACTTTCTTCAATTTACTGGGGAGTTCTGCATTCTTATCATTCATGCATGACTTCACCTGCTTGGTTGAGTGTAAATTTTTTTATTTCAGGTTCATGGAGGTTTTGGGTAGCTCTATTGTTTTTCGCTTTGATTCCCCATATTTCTTTCTCTTTGAACCTTCTTATAACGATAGACATTACAGGGCTTGCGTTAATAACTGGTTTTGGTTCGTTATACATTGAGCTTCTACAGTCCTTGATTCATTGTACGCATTTTCTTTCGCTGTATGATATGAGGTTGCAGATATTTATAAGATTGTCTTTTTTGCTTTAGATCGTTTCTTGAAGTCCTGAGACAACCTTTTAGCGTTCTTGCATTGAACATTATTTTTTATTTATTTGTTTGTTGATTATTTATTACAGGTGCAAAATTTAGCTTTCCAAAGCACGGAACAATTGAATTGTATAAAACAAATTGCTTAATAGGAATAATGCTGCAAAAATATGATAAATGATGTTACTTGTAATGCAAATTGCCAAATTTTAATCCTAAAAAAGCTATCCAATTGCTATGCTAAATTTTCAAACGCATTAAGAAAACCACCCCAAAATGAAGGGAAAAAATTTGCGTACATAAGACGTACGCAGAGTTGCGTGCGTCTGTAACCTGCAAACAAGTTACATGAAAGATTTCAGGAGGTTATAACCGCGTTATACCCCCTGTAACCTCCTTGTAACCTACCTGTATATCAAAACAGAAGCGTGAAACTTACTAGAATGTACAGGTAGGTTACAGAGAGGTTACAGGGGGTATAACGCGGTTATAACCTCCTAAAATCTTCCCTATAACTTATTTGCAGGTTACAGACGTACGCAGCTCTACGTACGTCTTATGTACGCAATTTTTTTTCCGAAATGAAGACCTCCTTGAACTGTTTTTTATCTAACCAAAATTCTTTGATTATTTATTACATTGGCTCGCAAAATATTTGCGTACATAAGATGTACGCAGTGCTGCATACGTCAGGGTTATTCATGGGGTACAAGGGGGTTATATCTGGGTTATACCTCCTGTAACCTCCGTGTAATTTTCTTGTAACCTCCGTGTAACTTATTTGTACCAATAAAACTACAGAAGCGTGGAACTCATTTGTAGGTTACATGTAGTTTACAAAGAGGTTACAGGAGGGTTACAGAGGGGTATAACCCCGATATAACTCTCCTGTACCCCCTGAATAACTCCTGGACATACGCATCGCTGCATACGTCTTATGCACACAAATATTTTCCCAAACTTAAAAGGGCTCATTTGTGAATGCTTCGCCATTTTAAGAATTCAGTTTTAAAGCAATTGTTTAAAAAGTGGCGATTTAAACTTTGGATCCGTAACAAAGAATAACGTCTGAAGACTGAAAAATAAAAAACCGGTTTTCACCCCGTCACCTCTCCTCCCCCATATCATTCGCAAGAGAAGCTTACAGAACCACTTAGCGCACAATCGAAGCAGTAAATCCATTGTCAAGCGAAGCTCCATTCCAGAGCGAAGTTGTTGATCCATTCGCGAAGCTGCCTCATCCTTTCTACTCGACAGGATAGTCGAGATTTTCCTCACTTTCTTCTACAGATCAATTCGCAGATCAATTCGGAGCGGAGGAGAAGGAAGGTCGGACGAGTGATTGGACGAGTGACGGTGGCTGCGCAAGGAGACTACTCCGCCGGGTAAGGGATAATACCTGTGAAGACTCTGTGCAGCTCCTCCACTCGCCTCACGCGGGCCTCCCTGGATCGCTTCGATTACCGGCAGCTTTCCCTAGGGCTGCTCTTTTATGCTTTACGGGAGAAAAGAAAACAGAAAGAGCAGAGGAAGCCTCAAATTTGGTTTATATAGGAAATTTGGTTTTCAAATTCTGAGAGGGGTGGAGATGATAAAGAAGGTTTCTATAGCATTGGTGACCGGCGGGATTCGTCAGCGGTAGATGTTGGTTGCTGGAAAAGGGTGAAGTTTCAGTGGAGCACGACGGCATCGAAGAAGCAGGGGGAGACGATATCAAAGGGGCATAAGAACTATGAGCGGATGCTTAATCTTCAGCTTGGAATCCTTAGTTTAAAATTGCCTCTTTTTTTTAGTTTTGCACTGATTGTTCATAATTTTGATGAAGTAGGGTTTTTGGTTGTGATTGTGCCATTATTAATCAAATTGAGAGAGAAAATGTAGAAGTTTTCATTTCGCAATTTATCCGAAACTGTAGGTACACCAACCCTATCATAGATATATTCATTTTGCAGTTTATCTCTAAGTGTAAAGCCACTCGTCCACCTAAGCATTCTTATCTCGGCAACACTTAATTTAGTTTATGCTTCTCTTTTAAAGGCCAACATTTTGCGCCATAGAGCATTGCAGGTCTCACCACTCTCTTATAAAACTTTTCTTTCAGTATGAGTGGTACTTTTCTATCACACAATAAGCCCGAAGAATTCTTCCACTTCAACCAACCAACTTGAATTCTACTAATAACATCCCCATCTGTATCACCATCACTTTGAACCATAGACCCGAGATATCTAAAATCACACATTTTAATAATTTGATCACTCATAGTTACAACTCTATCACTAGAGATACTACCACTAACATTACATTCCATGCATTCAGTTTTAATTTTACTCAAACAAAGGCCTTTAAACTCCAAAGTAGACCTTCATAGTTCAAGTTTTTCCTGAGCACTTTCTCTAGTCTTATCCACAAGAAGGATATCATCAGCGAAAAGAGTTCATTCGCTCGATTCGGTTGACTTTGGAAAGAATTTGAATGAAGGATTATAAAATGAAATTAGGGCTCAATTTGGAGGGAGCTTGGAGAATTTTCAGTAGCTAGAGGCTAGGGTATAGAGAGAGCTTGAGAATTTCTTGTTGTTCTTCTTCTCCAGAGAACAATCAGAGAGATTTCTTCTTGTATTTTCTTATACTTAAGTTGTTTTGATAGGTTGTATGAGAGATTTATTTTGCTGCTTTTTGCAAGAAAGAAGAATCACAAATCAATAAGTATTATTTTATTTGATAAAAATGTTGCTTGCAGGTTTGTTTTCCATGTATTTTCATGTATTTTTCTCACCGAATATGAGCAGTTAAACTACTTTTTCGCGTCTCTATAATTTGTAGATAGTTTTTCGATTATATTTTTTTCCGCATGTTTCTCGTAATATGTTTTCCTTGCTTCTGATGTCAATTTTTTTTATTAACCATTTGGTCTTCATTTACTACTAACCTGGTCAATTAGGACGTTAGAACCTATCGTGATATATGACTTCTGCCCGTTGTATAGTGGAATGATTGAGTTAACCACAAAATCCTATTAGAATTGGAATATTTTAAATTGGGCTTTGCAACTAAGAAAAGGGATCAGAAAAACACTGGTAAACACCATAAGGTTAAGCAAAAATTAACTTTGTGGGTTTCCAAGCTTAAGAAGCATCCCTGGTTGACAACAATCACGTAGGAGAAACTATGAGGTGTATTACGATCTTCAACTATCTTGAAGACACCTAAAAAATTAACTCTTGTTTTTTGTTTCTTCTATATCTGCTAGCTTTCTTAGATTTAGGATTTTTCTCTTTTGTTTTTTTTATCACACTGAACTAGGTTAAAAAGCTAGTAAAGTATAGATTCATCGATTCTGAACTTTTCTTAACTCATTTCTCTATTATAACGATATGTGATACTCTTGCAATCCACTTTCTACATTACACGTATAATTGCATGAAGTGACTGCTCGCTTCGCAGCTATTTTGCGGCCATCAATTGCTCGATCGGACATTTTGAAGAATTTTGATCCCTTCGGGAGGGGGGTTGCATAGGCAACCATCTTGGTACAAATGAATTGGGGTTTGGAACTCATTTGATCGTCTCTCACTTATCTGAAAGTAAGAGATGAGATGGAGATTGTTGTATTTATGGCTTTTATTATAATAGGAGAAAATTTTATCTTTTGGTTTTATTAACTTGCGTGCACTTGTCCTCCTCTATAAATGAAACTTAGGGTTAATCTGTCAGTATGATTAAAAGTGCAGAAGTTGTAACCTCCAGGCCGTTTTTTCTTTTCTATCATCCGGTGCCAGTGAAATCTCCCTCCCCGTAGACGTAAGCAAATCAATTTAATGTTGAAACACGTAAATCTTTTTTTTTTTAATTATTGTTGTGTGCATTTCTACGCTTCCACATTATTTTTGCATAAAACTTTGCATTTGTTGTATGGCATGAGATAGCACATAATTTAAAGTTTGCCCTGTTGAGAGCGTAATGCATTAACATCAACATGATTTTACCTTTCAATCGCTTGATTAAATTCGTCTTTTGTTGTCTCACGGACGACATTAGATGCAAAACTCAGCTGCAGAAAACACAAACTCTGGTATCAGAATTCAGAAATGCATTGCTCATAAATGAACATATTATTTTCTATAATTCAGGATAGGGACATTTACATACATACCACTCAATTTCTATGCTTTTAAACATCTAACACCTAAACATTTCCTTTTATATTTATACCACCCAAATCCTTCATATCACATCAAAATTACCACATCATTAACTTTTAAAAAATGAAAAGCACTTTTCATGCATAGAAAAGATGTTATATATGTAAATTATGTGTTAGATATATAAATACATATGAATTGAGTTGTATATATGTAAATCCTACTTCAGGATATTGGAGACATCACCATAGCTTGATAATTTCTTGCTGTTCATTCAGATCATACACTCCACCACTAAGCATTCAGCGGAAAATATAAGCGCACCTAAGTGGAATCCAGAGCTGGCACATTAACTAGGATTGTGCGGTGAATGATAAATGCCTTGCTCTTCCACCAATCAGCTCCCACTGACCTAAAAGAAGATAATGCATATTAACAACTCCAGTAATAATTGTTGTTTAAGGGTCAGGCCATTTGGTTTGTTTGATTATAAAAGGGAAGAAGCAATGTGGTAAGGCGTATGGGTCATTACTCATTTTCTGTTTATTTTGTAAAGAATTGGGATGAAAATGAAAACAAAAGTTTAACTTTTTTTTATATATATTTACATTTAGAAAAATGTCTAAATGTTCCCAGGACTACTGATGAGAAGGCATTTTAATCTCAGGTATGTCATATGTGCAATTTAGTCATTTGTCTATCAATAGATTCAAAATAGCTTTTTGACTGTTCAAATATGCTCTAGCATTATCCAATAGAGGATGGATTTGAATCATAATTTATGAGTTAAAGAGATCAAATTGAACATATTTATAAACCAAAAGAAAATTGATCCATATAAATAGCCCAAACATCATTTTCACATTTGTGTCCATTGTTGCTGTAAACCAACATCACATAAGTAATTAGTCCGAACAGCTTGTAGCACGGAATTGTATATAAATTCCAAATTAAGCATCAGAATAAATGAACATTTCTCAAAAAAAAAAAAAAAAGAAAATCCATGTTATTATCTCAAGAAAATCTGCAAATTTGTTCTAAAATTTATGTACAAAGTGCAAACACTTAATTGTGAAAGGCTGTATTATTTAAACCCACGTAGTTAAACATATCTATAATGTACTAATCAAGAAAAACAGAGCAAACCTTCCACCTCGTCACTGCTACTAATCAGCAGGATTCCCCTGAATGAAATTTTCAGCCGAGTAAATTCCCACATGCTCAGCCTTAACTTGGCTGCTCCAACTCACCCTTGCATTAGGATTCGCTCCAGGCCCTTTACTCTCATACTCTCCATAAAACAAAGTCGCTAAAGCAAACTCCCCCTTCCATGGCAACCACCCCTCCGGCATCACCATCTCCTCCATGTAGCAGTTCAAAAACACAGTCCTCGAATACTCCTTCCATGGCCTACCAAGATACACTCTATGAGCCCCTGGCTTCTGGTGATAAAGTGAAACATAATCATCACTCCCATTCACAACACAGTCCTTAAACACGAACCCTGTTGGCTGCCCCGGATCAGTCCTGCCATGCGCCGTCACTGCATTAGTCTCCCCCTTCCCCGGCGAGTCAAGCCGTGGCACCACCAGTATCTCGCAGCTCTCAAAAATGGCCGCCGAGTTGCCAAAAATGAAATCAATGGTGCCCAAAATCCGGCAATGCCGATAAATCTGACGAAGCGAGCGAGCATATAGCGTGTCCTGATGGCCAGAAAATTCCACCGACTCAATAACTGAGTGATCGCTGTCGGACCGAAAGGCGACAGCTTGATGAGCTTTTGGTCCGGCGGTATTCTCAAAGGTTAGATTTTTAGCAACAAACCCGTCACCGATAACACCGACGGTGGCCGTGTTGTAGGTAGAAACGCCGATCGTTTGGGCGTTGAGGTTGCTTGTGATGATCGTTTTCCCCATCCCATCACCAACTAAAGCAATGTTTGTTTTCTCGATCGGAACCTGAACTGTCTCCCGGTAGACTCCTTCCTTAATGTATATTACAAAGCGCCGAGTTCCATGGTCCGGTGCATGCGTAACAGCCTCTTGCACGGACCGGTGATCGCATTCGCCGGTTACACACACTGTGAGGTCCGGCGCCGGAAGATCGAGTCGCCCGCCGATCGCGGCGGGGGGGGCGGCGAGGAGGATTGTCCCCAGTAGCCATCGCGCTCCGTCTGGGGTGGTGCCCAGAGGGATACATCAGGGCCGAAGCGTTGTAGGGCAGTGATCATGGCAAGTGCATTGGAAGTAAGGGCGTAGAGAGAATCAAGGAAGGACATTGCTTTGGCGATCTGGCTGGTATTGTTGACGTACTTGAGAGCGGACCAGCAATCGTATTGGTACAAAAGGGCGGCGCCTGCAAAGGCGCGGGAATCTGCGTGGTCGGCGACCGATGCAGAGTCAGAGAGGCGGCGGGCTGAGAGGGAGAGGTGTTGGAGGCAGTTGTTTGCTGCCGTGGCACGGTTAGGGTTCGAGGCGGCGGAGGAGAGGATAGATTGCGCGTTGGATTGGGCAGTGGGGAGAGCGGCGGCAGCTGCGGAAAGAGAAGCGGTGATGATATCGGTAGCAGATGGCGATGAAGGGAGGGAGGGGGAGGAGGACAATACAGAGATGCAGGAGGAAGGGAAGCGGGCAGCGCGGCAGGCTTGGTTGATGGCCGAAGGTGGTGACTTGATGGTGTAGGAGAGTGGGAGATCGAGGAGGAAGAGGAGGAAGAAAGTGAGGATAGTCATGGAGAGGAGGAGGAGAGGAGAAAGGGGCTTCAATGATTTGCGATGGTGCATTGTTGTGGGCAATGGTGGGGATTTATAAGGAAGATGATGGGGTTTTGGATTTGGAAGTGGGTTTGGGGCGGGAATGAAGAGAATCTTAGCAGGATGGGAAAAATCCGAAGACTGGCGGTGGTTTAGCGATTCACGGGCGTGACAATGGGTAGAAAAGCGAGCCCACCGTTGAAATCGTGAAAGCTGAGGATTGTGGGAGATGGTGTGGGCAGTTAGGGAA